TCCTGTTTCTATTCAGTGCAATAACCTGTCTCTTATACACATCTAGATGTGTATAAGAGACAGCCTGGATAGGGTGAGGGAAAGAGAGATCAATAGAAAAGACATATAAAAAAGGAGATAATAAAGGTAAGAAAATCAATCAAAAAGATGAAGGGAAAAGAAAGATATTGGGGGTTGACAGAGCGGTGAAAAGAGGAGTGTACGGAAAGAAATTATGGAAAGTTTATGGAAAAGAAGTGTTTAACAAGCATATAATTTAATTAGTAATAGCTATAATATTAATATTAAAAATGTAAATAAGGGAATTGTATTTTCATTTACTGTAACCATAGATGAAAATACTTTTTGTTGGCAAAGAATGCCCAGCTTTTATTTACTGGTTTGTTTTTTTTTTAACTTTTTCTTAATTAGTAGATACACATCCATTAACTTATGATGTATGAACTTTGTGGAACTCCATACCAATTTCATCAGTTACTTTAAACTGTTTTAAGACCAAGCTAATCTTTTTCATTACTTTAACATTATATCCTTATTCTGTTTTTTATGTACAGCACATTGAGTGTTTGCTTATATGCACTATACAGTATAAGGGTGAACTATTATTATTATAATTACTATGATGTGCACATATTTGGCATAATCATATTCACAATCCCGCACTGGATTTCTTACCCTGTTTTTGCTGAAATTGCTTGAACATGGCAATCTCTTTTGCCAATCTTTGACACACTCTGATGAAACATTTCCTTGATAGTTGCCACAGTCAAACATCCCTAAGAAGAACAACATTTAGTGTATGAATATGAACAATATAATCACAATAAATATAACAAATAAACTTCATGGTGTATTTTCCTGGGTTTTGTGTACAAACAAGTGTCATCAAATTCTCTTTCCACGCTAAATGTTGTATGCACATATATAGTCATGATGTGACTATATATGTCAATGATGTGAAATCATCATGACCATATTTAGGCATGTCACATGTTTTTGTCAAATAGAATTTGACAGTCTTGACCGGGCTTAGGAGTCAGAAATAAGAGGGCGCTGTTTTTTGCTGCATGTGAAAATGATAACATTTTTCAAAAAAAGATGAAATGCAAGAGAATAGTATATTTTTTTCATACTATATTTAATGAGGGTTACCCTACAAAGTCTCTGTGATAGCTACGGAACAGTCGTTAGAATATTAAACAAATATCAAGGGCAAGCAAACATAGGATCTAGTAAAATGGGGTGAGGAACATTGAATCAATTTATTCTGAAAATTTGCAATCTTGAATTTCTAAATCGGTCTCATAAATGGTGTCTCCAATCCCTGATTGTGTCTTACATCAACATCTTGTTTATTGACAAGCACTAGCAATGGAACCCCAGCCAATGTCTCATGTTCAAGCATCTCATCTGAAAACAAATAAAAATATTGCAATCCTGTTTCTATTCAGTGCAGTAACATTAAAATGCAAAATGATGTTTTTGTAAAGATGACAATAATAATTACTTAATGAGAAAAAGTCTCACTTTGCTCACTGGTAGTGCTATACTGAAGAAATATAAACAATATTAATTCAGTAATTGTAAAACTGAACAAGTTCTAGCCTACATTTTTCTATCCGGTGCCATTATCATCAAATCGTTTTCATCATAATTATCATTATATTTATCAGCTTATAAATGACTAAATTGAATGTCTCTGAATGTATTCTGTGTTTCTGCCATTATTGTCACTGTTGATATCGGCTAATAGTTTACTTACCAAATGCTAGTCTGGATTCCTCTATTCTGCTTTTATCTGATGAATCAATTACATAGATCACCCCATGTGACTCAGCATAATACTAAAGAAACCAACAATCAAATAAATAATGATTTCATTTGGTTTAAATCAATTACCTATTTAGCATTACAATAACTGGATATTAAGAGAAGAAATTGGTATCTTTAATTTTATTCAATTTAGTGCTATATAAAGAGCACAGTCATAAATGGTAAATGCAACAAGTAAAGACTAAATATATATAACTAGAAATTGCAAATTGCAAGTGAAGTGCTGCGAAGTACAACTGCATAAAATGTTCTTCGAACAAAATTATTTATGCGAGTCAAGTGAAAATAATGAATAATAAAAATATAACAAATGATATGAGCACGACCCATTGTCTATATATTATTAGAACAGCTTTGGTACAATAGTGTTTGCTGCAGTGACATCTCTCTGCTGGCGATGGCTCGCTGCTGCTGGCGATGACTCGCTGCTGGCGAATCGATCTGCGCATGTGTATAA